CTGTGGGGACTACAGTGCACTCAACGTGCGCACTATCACCCGATAGGTACCCCGTCCACCACATATAGGACTTCACCCATCGCAATAAAGTTTGCCAAATATTCTCTATAGTATTCATGGCGAAGGCCTACACACTTATAAACGTGAATCTGGTTGATGTCCCGAGTACAGCTCTCGTCACAAGCTTTCGGTTGATTAAGTTTTTCTTCATGAACTTCGGCCTGCAGAACACAGGACAAACCTTTCAGCGCTTCATTGAAGAAGGCATCCGCGTCCTTCATCGATGACTTCATCGCATCTCACCAACGCGATGAATTCATCCGCGTTGGTGACAATGCCACAACGAGCAGGTATCCACCGAAATTTGACAGAGTCGGGAGGTCTTCTAAACTCTTTGTGCGCAGAACTTTCCTTTCAGCTCACCTGCGAATAGCACACAGTCTTTTAAACTCCTCATCGTTTGTAGAAAATCTGTCGTTTTAAGTTGAAACGTGTGTGCATTCTTTCAGACAATAAGCCATCATGGCTTCCGTCTTCCGCTTCCTTGACCACAAAATTTCATCTCAGAAAACTGTGGCACTGTGCCAAGGCATCTCGAACCCGCAAAATTTCCCACGATTCCCCACAGCTGAACACCTTCACCGTTTCCTCGGAATGCTGAACCTACAAGCGTTCTTTGCTATGTGCCGCCGAGCATCAGGCACACCTTCACAATGTTTTGACTGGGAAACAAAGAAACCAAGCCATCACGCAGACACCGTCGTTAGCGAAAACCTTCGAAGAATGGGAACCGCCCTTTGCACTGCCATGCTACGCGCCCGCCCATGCCGGACGCTTTCTTAGGACTGCTCACGGACGCCTCTGATTTTGCCGTTGGCGCCTCCCTGATGCAACGTGCGGACAAGACCTGGCACTCTTTGGCATTATTCTCAAGCAAACGCTCCACTCAGAAGGTGACCCCTTCAATGGCCACTTCCACCGTGCAAACCAAGACCCCTGCCCAAACGAGTTATCCAGCCTACTACAGAGAACTTCCACGATATACGAAGCAGTGCAACACTTTAACCACATTCTTGCAGCGCAGCATATCATCATCTGTACCAACTACAAACTAACCTTTGCCTTCTTTCAATGTTGAGACAAACTCCCGCCTGTCTTGCTGAACCAACTTTTGTCCATCGCACAGTTAACCACTGACAATTTGCTTATCCGCGAGAAAAACAACGTAGTCTACAAAGCACCTTCATGTGTAGCCACCATCAGCTCGGTGCAGGCTTGCAGCAGACGTCCTCACCTAATCGCAGACCACGGGTGCTGAACTGGAAGAACTTTTCAAAGGCGCGTGCTAACTAGATTCAAAATGTCGCCATTCCAGGTTCGGCAACCACAATCTGCTGCGACACGTTGGCAGGACAAAGAAGACCCTATGTGCCTCTGCCTCATCACCGTGGTCCTTCCAATAACCTCCACAGCCTCAACCATCTCGACATACGCGCCGCTACATGTCTCCTGACTGGTCGTTATGCCTGGTCCTCTACACCGCGGTATTTTTGCAGGTGGCTGCGCTTCTATATTCACCAAAAATTTGCTAAAATCACCAGGCACATCAGTCCCTACTCGGAACATTCCCTCAGCCCTCTAGTTCGTTCTAGCACACTCACCTCGACATCCTAGGACCCTTTCCAGCGTATGGACCTTACCGCTACTGCCTCACTGACCGGTACACTAGATGGCTCGGGGCATGACCCCTCGAATGAATCATCGTGGAATACGTCACCTAGCTTGGTCTTCTTCACCGCTTGGGATCTCTTTTCGGTGCCTCCCGCCGTGTAACCACCAACCAAGGGTGACAGTTTGAGTCGTAGCTATTCAATCAAGCTCGTCGGACTGACTATTCATTTCGCTCTTGAGGGCTGCAGTTACCACCCATGCGCTAACGTAACAATAAAGCGTTTCTACCGACAATTCAAGGAAGCCATTATGTGCCACTGGGACTCAACTGAGCTCGTGGCCATCCTAGCGGCCAACCTAGGTCTTTTAGCCAGCTTCAAACCGGACATGCACACTACACCAGCAAACAATGCTCTATGATGAACCACTTCAACACCCAGAGGAATTCCTCGCAGATCTGTCATCTCGCACCACAACGCAAAACTACACGACTTTGTCACCCTGCTCCAACGTACCATCGCCACCTTAAACCCATTACCTGCAGCCCTCTACAGCAAGTATACACCTTTTGTCTTCAAGGAGCTAGCATAGTGTACGCACGTTACCCTCCGCGACGAAACCATCAGCCGGCCTTTGAAGCCACCATACAATGAACTATACATAGTTGTTCAGCGTGACGACAAGAGCATCACTCTGCCGCTCAACGGGAATGACGCTGCCGCCTCGACTGACCGACTCAAAGCTGCGAATGAACCGGGCAGCGTCCCTCCTTCTACAGGCCTCCTTTCACACTCGTCGGCGTCACATCCCATTACTTTTACGACACGCTCTGGACGTCTGGTACGCCTCCGAGATTTCTATAGAGCCAGAGGGCTCAGGGGGGTGACGTTGCAACGACTGCGCACAAAGCTGCGCTGCCTCCATCTCACCACTGGTAAGCCCAGGGTGGCATGCCCACTTGCTGCAACAAGCTCTCCGTAAAGGACAGCGCCACCGAAGTTTCGCCGCAGGTTTATGTTACCACTGGTGGCTGTATAATCTAAGCTGCCAAGCTCGGCTTTATACTTGCTTCTCGAACCCTTCGAGCGCAGCGTCGAAATTTCGCCTCGCCGCTGCTACGACGTTAATAGACCGTTATACGCATTATGTTCGGATGTGTCCTTTTATGACACGACATTTCACAAATGCGCTTTTACCCGCGGGAATTAGCTGTCATCGCTTCCTTAACGCCACGCACCAACAAAAACGTCATGCGCTCATTTGTCACCGGGGACGCCTATTAGGACTGCTTCGAAAAGAAATTCATACAGATCATTAAACTGCGTACACACCTCACGAAAACTGGTGCAGATAAAAATTGGGCACGACGACAGGCTAGGGATTTTAAGCACTGCTACGACACCTACAGACGCCTACAATACTTGCGCATTTTTTTGAATACGCCGATACGAAGTTCCACTCTGACGCGAGTAGCGTCTCACTCAGCGCCACCCTTGCGTGCAGGACTGATGAACAGGAATGGCTTATCAGTTTTGCCAGCAGGTCACTATCCAGACTATTCTAAACCAAAAAAGCATTGATTTGTCATCATATAGGCTTCATCCAAGTTTCATGGAAGTTCTACTGCAGGCCTTTAAAAAGTTACGAGGGACCACCAGGTCCTGTGGGTGCTAGCTACTTCAAGATTTCGTCATTGCCGTCGCTTGGAAGTACCGAATAAAGCACTCCGATGCCGACTGCCTGGCTTGTGCCCCCATCGAGCCATCTCCGCAGGGCTACCACGATCATTGCTGCTTCTTGAATACCATAAGTGTGTAAGGCCTTGCTGAACAACAGCAAGCCAACCCGGAAATTACAGGTTCGACGTTAATCCAAAAATATTTAGGTGAGAATTGAGGTCACTTTTTTTAAACGATGTCCTCATAAGAACTTCTTGAGGGCCTGGGTCAACTACCTTCCTGTTGTAGCGTGAGCACGGTGAACAAACGTTGAGCGGGCCCACCATGACGACCTGACGACTTGCCACCATTGTTTTTGGCGCACACTTGCGAGGACACAAAAAAAACTATACTGGCCAGGCCGCACGCCGCCGTTGTTCGGTATGTGAGGGCATGCAATGGCAGTTATCGACGCAAAACACCACCACTGCCAGCTGGACTACTGCAGTCCCTGAAACCACCTCTTCAAGCATTCTGGTAGGTCTGCTTGGCCAAACTGGGGCTGTTCGCGATGTCGACCATCGGAAAGAAGTAGATCGTTGTAGCCGCCGACTACCTCGCCAACTACGCCAAAACAAGAGCTATGCCCGAAGGCATCACCGTGAAAATAGTCAAGTTCTTCTTAGAGTGCATCCACCTACATAATGATCGCCCAGTCCTCCTCATGGCCGCCAGAACTACAGCATTTACTGATGACTTTACTGAAGCGACATTATTATAGAGCCACGAAAACAACCGCCAGACTGTAGCCTACATGAAAAAATTGATGGTCTTACCAAGCCTCTAGATAAGACTATCGTCGAAATGTTGGCCATGTAGGCCACGTCGACGTCCAACACAATACGTTGGATGCCATCCTTCTGTAGGTGACCTTCGCGTACAAGATGGTCGTGCAGAAAGAATTCAAATGACGGCACAAGTTGGTCTGCCAAAGAGAGCCAGTGATGACGCTCGATGCTATGCTACCCAGCGTCATCCACGAAGAAAAGGTCTATGTCACCGTCTACCTACAGCGGAGCGAAGAAGCTAAACTACTCGCCTGTCTACTTATTGAGAGCCAGGATAACGCCAACAGTCGTCATTACGACCTTCAACTACATAATGTGGAATGTCCGCCCACTGACCGTGCTTAGGTGTGTACGCGAATACGCGGATAATAACTAAATCAGAAATTTTGGTGGTTTTTCACTTCATAGAAGGTGCTTCAACATATCGGTGCTCGTGACTAGGACGTTAAACCAGTCGACATTACGAACTTTCTTTCTTTGCGACAAACACCACACGCACGTTTTTAACGTGAACGCATTTGTGCGATTGAACACCACATGATTCTTCCACCGCTTAAACGATAAGCTAATAACGACTTAGTAATGTGTTTTGAAGGTGCAGTGATTACAACAGAACGCTGTCACGTTGTTTGGCAGTGTTTCTATCGTACTCGACTGCAATGTAGCATGTCAGCACTCACCGCTCCAAATGGCACTGGGGGAAGCGGTTTTAGCAATACACTAAAACAAAATCAAGTATTCCTGTTCAGCACTTACACCACCACAATAACAGCTACACAAAGAGCAATTTCAAATATTTATACACGTTTTGCCCAAGTCTTACCTGGTTCTCGATTAATATTGTTCTCACAGCTGCCTGGGGAGTGACTGTCGCGCTGACTCGCGAAACAACCTCACTGACAATTTTATCCCTTTCTTGAGCGACATTTACGCGATGAACTTTGCACTCGCAAACATTTAAAAAGTACACAGAAAAATGGAAAAGGAGAAATTTCTACGAACAGGCACAATAGACGGCGCACCAAGCACAACATTCCATCTATAGCTAAGCTGCACTATGCATTCAACTGCTAAGAGAATTCTGTTCCTGTCTTCAACCACGTTGCAGTGAGAGAAAGGAGACGCCTGAAATCTCGCCACTTTATTGTTCAGTATGAAAGTGGAGCGGGGCGGGTGCCTGCGTCGTAGCCGTCAGGCGCGAAAACGTCTATTGTCAAGCACGCGCCTCGAGCTCTTAGCACGAGCAGCGCGAGAGGCGCAGCGTGGTGACTAATGGGTGATGGTGATGATGATGATGCAGGTGCTACATGGCACGCTCCGATAGCGCTTCGCGCGATTCGAAAGGTTAATACAAAAAAGAGGCAGATTTATTTGATTCATAGATTGATTGATAGATTGATTTATTGATTGAGTGATTGATTGATTGATTGATTGATTGATATGTGGGGTTTAACGTGCCAAAACCACTATATGATTATTAGAGACGCCGTAGTGGAGGGCTCCGGAAATTTCGACCACCTGGGGTTCTTAACTTGCGCCCAAATCGGAGCACACGGGTCTACAACATTTCCGCCTCCATCGGAAATGCAGCCACCGCAGCCGGGATTCAATCCCGCAACCTGTGGGTCAGCAGCCGAGTACCTTAGCCACTAGACCACCGCGTCGGGGCAGAAAGAGTGGCAGATGCACTATGTACAAGAACGACCAACCATACGGTGGCCCTTTGTGAAGTCCTGTTTGTCAACGTGAATGGGCTATCGGCAACCGGTGAGTCTCTGACGGGAAACTCTGGCAAAAGTAAGGTGGACGACGACCTTTGTGATTGTATACTGTGGTCGCCATTCATTTGAGGTCATCGTCATTATTAGGCGTTTGTCAGCATGACTTGATGGGGCCTGCGAGGAGCGTACCTAGTGTCACGAGTGAGCATTCTGGGAGAGTTGCCTGTAGGAGGAGGTTAAGGTGGGTGCAAAAAAAGCTGATGTGGGCCCTGTGCGACTGATCACTAGAAGTGGCAGAGTGAAGTTTTGAAGACAAACTACTGACGAATAAGCGAGAAGTAGCTGCGAGCTGGCGGGTGCAAGTGCTGCACGCGTCTCGAGAATCTCGTGGCACCCACAATGCGGAGAGCGCACCGCTGCTTGCTGCGGGATCGCACGGACGGGTGCGACGCCATCGCTGCACGCTTTCCGGTAGTGTGCGTGCACCTTTCTTGGCGGTCACCGGTGCTGCGAAGGCTAACGAAGCCGATTGGGTTAACAAATTGGTGACGTGAACGCCGACGAGGCGCGAGCCAGGGAAGCCAAACGCAAGCGTCGGCAGTGGGAGACCAGCGACACCGACGAGGTGCTAGTCAAGAACACCAATTGCGGTGGAAAATACAAACAGCACGCAGATAACACTGATGAGACGCGAGTCAAGAAAGCCGAGCGCAAGCATCTTCAACACGTCCCACCCTCCATGTCTTAGCGTTTCAAAGAAACGTTTACTCGAGTAAAGCCTACATCTAGTTTCACTTCAAACTGTTTTTCCAGCATCCGCGTCAACGCCTGTTTTAATCGAGTCAACGCCGTGCGCGCTGCTGTTCCTCCAAACTAGATCAGGGTTCCCTTCGGCGAGATGGTCCATAGTTTTAGGACCGAAGCTCCTTAAGTCATGGGTCGTGCTTCCGCGATGTATGTAGTAGTAGTAGTTACCGTCGTAGTAGTAGTATTAGGTAGCCACACCCACGGCCGGGCTATAAGAGTAGCACGTGCGCACTCTTTTGAATATAAAACAATCGTGCACGTTAATTTTAAATGAGAAAATAGTTGTTTCCGACGAAATAACGTACAAAGACGAGTATCGGTGACTTATTCTCCAATAAAATTTGCCTTGAATTTGATGCTTTCTAAAAAAATTGGCTCCGTATGTACATGTTTAACTGCAAATGCCGTCGAAAGACAACGGTCTGGTGTCAGGGAGAATTTCGCAAGGGGGGGCCGAGGAATGTGGACATGTATGTGTCGGCTCCCACTTCTTTATGTGATTTCGGCCATGTTTTGACAATTAGCGTTATTTTTTTTTACTTCTGTGAACAGCTCTTCAGCGCCATTTACGAGGATATCACCGTTTGCACAGTAAGAGCAATTTTCGAGACATTATAAGGCTTTCGCCAGTCGACGTGGTGCGTCGGCTGCTGAGCCTGATGGCGTCTAGTCTTAGCGCGAGTATGAAATAGGACATGGAAACGAGTATGGCTTAGTAGCGGTAGAGCCGGGGAAAGTGGTGACCATGCTCTATGAAACGAGACGCAATGCCCGAGACAATCTCAGTGGATGGAATGAAAGCTATTCAAGATGATATTTCCGACGCTGGCTGGATTACCGCCTATCGTAATCGAAGACGGCTGGACCAGGTGAAGAAGACGACGCCTGCGTCTAGTGCAAAAAGTGAAGAGGTTACCGGGAGAAAATTGGCAGATCTCACGTACAGTGAGAATCGATGACATGCGAAGCATGAATCCAAAATCTTGATATCTCAATTTAAAATCAGCAAAACGTTATCAGGTGGAAGTAAATGATGCCGTACATAGCTTCCGTGTCATGATTATCATGTTTGAATGTGTCGTTTACCTTTCGTTATCTATTTACGTCACGTGATACCAACTTTATAATTGTGGAGCTAGCGAAATGGCCGCAAACACGCTATTAACGTGGTATGTTGTCATGTTCTTACATGACACCCGTGTCAGGATATCATCTTTGCACCAGTCATATATTTCGCCATGCATTCTCGTAAGGTAACACCAAATTTTGTACAAGAGGAGCTAAAAAATGGCCGCGAGAGCATTATGAAGGGCCGAATATACTTCAATGTAACGTTGACGCGCGCGCACGCTACGCACAGCGATGCTACGTTAGCAAAGCGCGAGCACTCTATAGTCTGACGCCAGGCGCCAACAGCGTCCGTCGGTGCGGCCTGATGGCAAACGGCGCGAAGTGCAACATGTTGAATTTCGCGCCGATGTCAAAGAGTAACATTACCCTACGCCGCTGCGTTACCGAGGCAACACTGCGTCTCCTTCTTTTCGCGACGGAAAGATGCTGGACGCACTGAAATGCGCATGCGTCAAAGAAACGCAGCGTGGTGCGTGCCTGCGAGTATATAGGGCGAGACCAACGCCTGGCGTGGCAACCTCGACGTGACGCTAAGAAATGAACGCCGGCGAGCACGCGCAGTACGTCATGTCAAAATGTATTGGCGCCTTGACTGTGGCATGCAGTCATGTTCTCACTTGACACGCATCTCAGGAATATTATGTTTGCAGCAGTCACATACCTTCATTATCCATTGGCGTCACGTAATACCGAATTTCGCATATGTGAAGCTAGTGAAACAGCCGCAAGCGCATCATGCGTGTGCATGTAGTCATGTTGCTGCATGACGTGCATGTCCTGATTATCATGTTTGGATGTGTCATTTACACATGTAATTTGTTCTCGTCGCGTAATACTCAGTTTCGAACATGTGAAGCTAGCGAAACGGCCGTGAGCGCATCATGAGTGTGGCATGTAGTCATGTTGGTACATCACACGCTATTCATGTTCATTATGTCTGCACCAGTATCATACCTTCGTCATCTCTTCACGTCCATCCCGTAATAGCAAGTTCGGTATAAGTGAAGCTATCCAAACGGCCGTCAGAGTATCCTGAGAGTGGCATGTAGTCCTTTGGTTACATAACAGGCATATCATGATTACCATGGTTGCACCAGTCACACACCTCCATCATCCGTTCACGTACCGTAATACCAAACTTGGTATATGTGACCCAAGTGAAACGGCCACGAGTGCACCATAAGCGTAGCAAGTAGTCAAGTTGTTACATGACAAGCATTTCACAGTTTGCATGTTACAGTCTGTCTGTTGTGTTCTCCATGCAGTCATGTCTTACTTCTCCAGTTTTGCAACATGGCATGTGAACGGAACCACCGCAAGAGCTGCTGGACCATGAAATGTATATCATGACGTTCATGACTTATGTGTCAAGATATTCATGTTATGACTAGTCAAATATGTTCTTCGTACTGTCATGGTATGGCATACCAAGTTTGGTATTGATACCATTAGCAAAAAGGCCAGGACCGCTGAAAGTCGTAGGCGAATAACTAGATAGATAGATACGTTCAAAGTACTGAAGTTCGCTAAGAAATGCTTCGCACAAAAGAACTGGCAGATCCCTCGTACAATGGGAACCGATGACATGCGAAGCACGATTGAGAAAGGTTGAGATGTCGATTTAAAATCGGCACAACGTTACGAGGTGGAAATAAATTATGGTGTACATGACTTACATGTCTTGATTATCATGCATGGAAAAGTTAGTTATCTTCGTCATCTATTCACATCTCCTGATACCAAATTTCGTATATATAAAGCTAGCGAAATAGCCGCGAGCGTGCTATGAGCGTACCGTGTAGTCAAGCTTTACATGGCATGCATGTCATGATAATCTTGTTTGGATGTGTCATTCACCTTTCGTCGTGTATTCACGTCCCGTGGCACAAGATTTGGTATATGTGGAGCTAGTGAAATGACCGCGAGCGCATCAGAAAGGGCCCAATATACTCCGACGTAACGTTGCCGCACGCGCACGCTGGGTGCAACGGCGCTACGCTAGCACAACGCGAGCGCGACTGGCACGACCAGCGTCCGTAGGTGCGGCCCAGCGGCAACCGGCGCGAAATGCGACAAGCTTTATTTCGCACCAATGACATTACCCGGACAGCACTGCGTCTGCCTTCATTCGTGACGGAGGGGGGCTGACGGCGCTCAAACGTGCATGGGTCAAGGCAATGCAGCAGGGTGCGCGCCGGCAGGCAGATCGG